GATGACCTGATAAAGAAGGGCCAGAATCGTATCAGCTGTTGGCATTCTTGAACTTCCTCTTTACATCCTCTGCACATCCTCTTTCTTCCTTTTTTTTTTTTCTTTCTTTTCTTTTTTATTTCTCCAGGAAACGTGTCCATAAGATACACGTTAAGTAAAATTTCAGCTGGTTCAGCCATCTGCCCTCAACAGGTGACGAAGATAATCTCACTTGCCCCTCACGTGTTCTTTCTTTTGTTTTTTTTTTTTTTAAGAGAAATAGCCTTTTCTTCCAAGAAGAAAGAAAATTGGAAGAATGAATCACGCGGATACTTTTCTATCTTTCTAATTTTTAACACTTTAGGAGTTTATCCAATATGGTAAATGTAGTTCGAAACAAATTTCGTTCTTCTTTATCCGTTGAGCTACGAAACAAATAACCGTTCTGCAACTCGAGAACGAGAGAGTTGAGAAACACTGTTACACAGGCTCTTATAAACTCTATTTAAAAAAGAAATTACGCTGAAATAAAGTACTCCGTGAACCGTGATTAAACGATCGTCGCGTAAATATCAGAAATCGGGCGAGACGGTTAATCGTGCGGACCAGTTGCCGGAAACGTTGCTGTAGGTAAATGCAGCGGCTAAAAGAAAAAAAAAAAAAAAAAAAAAAAAGAAAAAAAGAAAAAAAGAAAGAGAGAGGGAAAAAAAAAAGAAAGAAAGAAAGGAAAGGAAAGAGAGCCAGTTGCCTGCGTTGAAGCGAGAGAGTCGCGCGGAAAGAAGATAATAAAAAGGTAGGAGGCAGCATCGTCGTCGTCGTCGTCGTCGTCGTCGAGTGCAAGCGTTCGTAACTCGACGTGGGTGTTGTCTGCAAGGACACACGAACGCGCCTCGTGTAATTCCACTCGAGCTCCGCGAACAGGACGAGGAGAGGCAGAGACAGAGGGATAAAGAAAGAGAGGAAAAGAGAAGGGACAGAAGACAAAGAGAGAAAAATAGTATCTCGTATCGCGATATCTCGAGCGGAGGCGGACTGCGAGAGAAGCAAGAACTTCTGGATCTCGATTTACGGATACTTAAAGCACACCCACGAGTATAGTGTTCTCCGTTGGAATTAAAGGAAAAGAGAGAGAGAGAGAGAGAAAAAGAGAGAGAAAAAGAAAAAAAAATCGTCTCTATATCGATTATGGCCGACCTTGTGCTTCGTTACGTCGATTGCGCTCCGTGACGCGAATTTCATTCAATTGACTTTGAGAATCTTTTATTCTCTTACTTAACAACATGTGCTTTTGAGTCTTTTGTGTTTATATTGGATTTTCGTCGAGTGGATTCCTTTTTTTTTTTTTTTTTTTTCACTATTTTGTTTTTGTATTTTTTGTTTTTTTTTTTGGTTTTGGTCGGGTGTTTTCCTTTTTTTTTTTTTTTTTTCGGAGAAACGGTAATTTGAAATCGAAATTTGTGTAGTTTAATCTTGGAGGAAAAAAATAAAGTTAAAAAAATAAGCTGAAAATTTTTTAAGACTTATTTGTTGGTATGTAATAAATTGATCGAATTTTAAAATAAAGTTTAATTAGAACGCATATCTTATATTATAAGATTGGATTTCTATCTATGATAAATAATCATTTTTGCTTAAAATTATTTATTTATTGAAAATTTTATTGAAAAGATTTTTATTGTTTATTTAATCATACAAAAAGAAATGTTACTTTCTTTTTTGTTTACGATCATTAATTTGTATATATATATATAAACTTGAATAAACATTTTAAAATATTACTTGTGATTTTCCACATTTCGAATAAATTCTTCAATTAACAAGCACGAGTCAACACACGAGCAATGAAAAAGAAATCAACGACCCGACGACTCCTTTCTCAAACAACATTTTCACGTTCACGTTCACAGTTGGTGGAATAATCATTTGCCAGAAAATTATCTGCTGTTATAGGCACGGCTATAACCACGCTAATCCTCTGTCAATAACACAGACACTTGTTTGACTTAATGTAACTTGCACCACGGTGAAATCATCCGGCTCGAAACGATTAAGCAACCAAAAGTGGTCACCTAGAATGAGAATAGTTAACGCGTTTAACTAGTTACCCGGCTTTCGTTAAACACCTCAAAATGGATCTATTTAACACTTGTTAAGTCTCGCTCTGGATTAACTGTGCCGATGTTTAACTTAATTGCTGTTGCGGTTTTAGTTGGAAATTATCAGGTTTCCTCGAACTTGAATATCAAAATTAAGATACTTCTATAAGCATCGTAAGATAGTTTGTCTTTAAAAATGTCTTTTTAATTCTAAAACAATTATTGATTGTTGTTAAACTCATTACGTAATCCCAGAAAGATGATAATCGTTCTTTTCACTAAAATTATTGATTTCAAAATTAAAAGTATACGATAAATTGTATTATTTCTTATTTGTAATATTAATTATTTATTTTCCATATTAAATGTGTTTTTTATTATGTTATGATTTTAAATCTTAGACATTTCATGGAAAACTAAAAAATACTTTACAATATAGAGTCTATAATTCTATAAAATATTTCAATTAAATGCATCACTCATTAAATTAGACGGAACTTCATATTTCCATTTATCATTGTTTGTACAAAACATATCAAAATAAATCACAGCAGAAACAATATCCATTATCACGGAAACTTTACCACTATATCCTCTATATTCAATTCGAATAACGAAGTTTCTCCCTTATCAAAGGAAACATTAAAATCCCCTACATGTTCCTATAACGTCG